GTCTCTCGGAACTCCAACCCAATTGATGCATGATTGTGCGGGTTCCCAGGAAGGAAGATACTAATTAGTTCTTTTTCGATTGCGCTTTTCTTTGATGACGTGTAAACTCTGTTTGATTGATTGATATGTGGACTAACGGTCGTTCCTCGGTCGGGCGCCAGCCTTCCGTATCTCCCTCGCTGACGCGCCCCTTGAAGTTCCCCCTACAACGAGGAAAGGACACGTGTATGTGAGTGGGACGTACGAGAAGTTGTTGCACGAATCGGCGGACAATATTACTTCCCTCCTGGAAATCGTTGTTCTGGTTTCGTGGATGTGGCCTTTGTCATTATCGATACGCACTTCCCACCCTACTTAGTATTGTTGCCATTTAACGAGCTGATCGTCATTCCGTAGACGGCAGTGGCGCCCCATTGGCCTCGAACCCTGTGCACTGAGTGCCAGCGTTTCGATCGCTACGAATCGAAGGGCTTCCACTACCGGATACGGAGTGAAGACGAGCACAAGGAAAGAGCCACGTGGCTGAGACCATCCACGCCAGACTCGGAACTGACCAACGAGCGACGTCAGGACTTGATAAGGAAACGCGATACGCGGAGTGTACCGAAGCCCATCCGCTCTAAATGAAGATCCGTAGCGCGGTGGGAAGCTCGACAATACTTTTTGGATTGAAATTGGATCTTTCTCTTTTCGCGTCGTGCTCGTGCTCGCATTCCGCGATGCGCGAAAGCAACCGACTTACTTCATCGGGCCAACACGGGGGATTCCAGTTCTGTTTGTGTCCCCACACTCAATTTTCCAAAAATCCTTGGCACACCCCATATTGCTGTTTTTCTGGGCCTTCTTTCCGCACCTTTAGCACTCCGAACGGAAGACAGCACAGAGCGTGAGGTTGGTATCGGAGCCGACACGTGTCGGTTCTGATGATAGTAAGTCGAGCTGGCGAGAGGTAGAAGGAGTCCTCAACCTGCTCGTCGAGATCGTCTAGTAACCAGATCTAGATCTGTTGCGGTTAGACCGGCTACGCCAATGGGTGACGGTAACGTAGCTCCCCCCAGGGTGATTGTTAGTATTCCCGCCCCCTTTCCTTTCTTTCCTAATCACACCCAACCCGAAGCTTGGTTGGAAGCCGTCAAAGCTCAAGGGTATGGCGCGGGAGATCTCCCCCGCATCCTCACCTTGCTGCTTCGCAACACAGTGCATGATTGGTTTAGGAAACACACATGGGTAGATTGGAACACCTTCAAGCAAGCCTTCCTAGTCCGATTTGATACGGTCAGTGAAGATACCGCCTGGTATGTGCTCAGGACTCGACCGCAAGCACCAGGGGAATTGCTGCCTGACTTCGTGGATCGATTCCAAACTACGTTAGACAAATCAGGGCGAGATGAAAAGTCCGCCCGATATTTATTCATCGATCCTCTACGAAGTCCGATATTAAAAGGTAAGCTACAGAAAAAGGTCCCCCCTAAAACGCACCAGCTATCCGCTATCATCGCCAAGGCACTTGAGTTAGACCTGACGGATACCAAGAAATATATCAGTCAGGGAGACGAAGATATTACGGATACGATTCAGGATGTAGCGGCGAAACGACGATCGCGGTTGCGAGCGGTGGAACGATTCTACCCTCCGCCTGATTATGACCTTCCCGGGGGGACTGCCTTTGATATTCGATCAGTTCCTTCTCCCCCTCCTCCGACTCTCTTAATGAATCAACAGGTAGCAACGGTTAGATCCAGAAGCTCCCAAGATTCCTCCCCTATGGCCATAACAAACATGCACTTGGCACAGATGATCCATATAGCTACCACCAAACAATCAGAATGGATGAGCAACTTGGTCCAAATAAAGGTGGCTCACATGGATCGATTGGAACAGATAATGAGCCGACTAATTAAGCCCAACCCGACTCTTGCTCGTCCTACTCCTGCATCGTTCCCACTTTTGCCTGCTCCACCTGCACCCGGACATGCACAGCAGTTCCCTCACACAGCCAATCTGGCAGGGGAAATCGAGTGTTATAATTGCAAACAGCCCGGRCATTTTGCTCRGGACTGCCCGCASCCGAAACGAAATCAACCCCCACMTGCTGCAGCCCCCGTAACTSTGAATCAAGGACCAGTGGCCRCACTAATGGATACGGCCCGAAGTGAGGAGATCGTTGTGTATGCCCCTGAGCAACCTTCCCCCTYAATGGCAATTGCATCGACCTCGGGAACTTCTTCTYCCGACGYTGCTGAYATGGTTGATCCACTCGAATACCTTCATCTCGCTGGGATGATCGGAGCAATCCGACCGGCCCAGGACGATCTTAAATGGGTCGAGCGTGAATCTAACCCCGGACCACAGTTTCGGAMGGGAGAAATCRATGTACTACGAACGCTTAAGCAWCTGCYAGTGGACATTCGCGTTCCGGTCCCAATGGGGCATTTGCTCACCATATCCGAAGCAGCGAATGACAAGCTGCTTCAACAATGTCAGAAGAATCAAAAGCGCTTTACATACCAGCGCATACAACGAATGTTGAAAAAGAAGAAAGAAGACGGAGCGGAGGATGTGACATCGCCTTAACCCGAAGTCGCTGAACCCGAAGCAGCGCGAGTAGCCAAGATTTCTTTAGCAGAGAAAGATCATTTTGTGTGAGCTCGACCAGTATTGTGGAAAAGCGCGGAATGTGATTGTGAAGTATGGGGCAAACCTTTTAACGCTCTCATCGATACCGTCTCGTCTACGGTCGCTATATCATTAGACATGGTAAAGAGAACGGGACGACTCAATTCGATTCTCCCTCAATCTGGCAAAGACCATTACGTCTCTGCTGACGAGGAAGCAATGAATATTGTAGGAGTCATCGAGAATGTGGCCGTGAAAGTTGGACGAGTGCACGTCCTCGTTAACGCTTTAGTCATAGATGTGCACTCATATTCGGTATTATTAGGACTGCCTTGGGCGATGGCGGTAGGTGCCCGCCTGCATTTCGATTCCAAACATTTGGTGCTCACACAAATGGGAGGAAAGCCTCAGACGGTTTCATAACGGATTTCAACCCGCACAGTAAAAAGGAATCCTAATCCTGCTCGGATAGGGATGATTCAAGGTCCCGATCACGAGAAATTTTCATCCCCGGATAATAGTAGCGGATTCGAAGAACRGGAGTGTGAAGAAGAGATGCCTAGCGAGAKTGAATGGAAACACTTGGTSGARCTTTTCGAGCACGAAACCCCCGAGGAGTTTCGGATGGTTCCCAGAGCCGCCCGAACCTTCCATTTGAGTCTRGAAGACAACGCGCTCACGCCTATGGAAACCCATGTCAGTCCCTCGACCTTTCTCGGAGAACCCATCTTACAAATATTTGACCTGGCAGACGATTTGGAACCCCCTCGCACYTTATACGAGGGAACGCTATCCCTTCGAGCACGCTATCAGCAGGCGAAACCATACCTAGATGTGTCTGTTTCCCCCCCAAGGTGACTGCTTACGACAGGAGCGAATGTCGCTCTCATTAAACAAGAAGCCGAAGCTCATGTCGACGATGTGCCCGATCTGATGCAGGAACTGGCGAATTTAACAGGACTAACCGTGGAAGAAACCACGACTAATTCGGAAACTGACGCTGAAGTTAAAGAAACCGAGATGATTAGCCCCGCTGAATCCCAGATGATCACGACTATATTTTCAGTCCGCACCAGCAGCTCTATCTTCTCTAGCGTCCATAACCGACGGGATCGGCCTGCTGATTGGATCGATATCCCTCTTGAGATACCCGATCGACCAACTGTCACTCTGCTCAACCACGTTCTCTTGGAATTCCGACAATCACTAATTAATGTCTTGAATGGGTACGTAGAGGTATCGAGTGTGGACGATAACGATATTGGGTTGTCTAATGTGATTGAGCATGCTATCCTTACGGGGGATCATCCGCCGATTAGCTGCAATCCTTACCGATACTCGCCAGCCCAAAGGGCGGCCGCGTTTCAGCAGATCAAGGAATTCGAGGCTAATGGATGGATCGAACCCGCTATAGGACCGTGGTCGTTTCCTGTGGTAATAGTGCCCAAAAGGACCGGAGGGATTCACATATGCATCGATTATCGAAAGTTGAATGATATCACGATCAAAGATGTGTATCCCCTTCCCCGGATTGATGAGTTGTTAGATGCGATTGGGAGTGCTCGATTTTTCAGTAAGTTTGATGTTCGACATGGGTTTCATCATCTTCTTGTTCAAGAGGAGGATCGACCGAAAACGGCGTTTGTATTGTTCGATGGTACTTGGCAATGGGTTCGATGTCCAATGGGCATCTGCAAGTCTCCAGCAACGTTCCAGCGAGCTATGAATGTGGCTTTCCTGAACTTTGTGCGGAAGACACGACTGGCACAGAGCATCATCAATTATTGTGTGATTGTGTACATGGATGATATTCTGGTGTATTCAAGTTCCTACGAAGGGCATGTGCAGCACATCGAATGGACGCTGCATGCATTGAGAGATCTTGGCCAAGGGCGCTTGAGAAATGTCAGTTCTTTCTCACCACCATTTCCTTGCTGGGACACGTGGTGACAGACCAGGGGCTCAGACCGGAACCACAAAAGGTGGCAGCACTGAGAGACGYGTYTGTGCCCWYGACTATCACACAAGTTCGCCTTCTGGGCCTGGCCTCGTACTACCGAAGGTTTATCAAGGGCTTCGCGGCTATTGCGGGACCCCTCACAAATCTGYTGAAAAAGGATCAACCRTTGATCTGGACGCYAGAGTGTGATCAAGCRTTCTCAAAACTCAAGGCAGCCCTCATTTCGGCTCCGGTCCTTATAAGACCGGATCCTGCGAAGCCTTTTGTCCTCATCATGGACTGGCAGCCGGAGGCAATCTCAGCGATTTTGGCCCAGGTAGGACCCGGCGGACTCRAATGCGTGGTAGAATACGCATCTAAGTCGGTCCGTGCCTGCAAACGCAACTACGCAGCCCCGACAGGAGAATGCTATGCGGCTTTGTGGGGAATCAGTCACTTTCAAACCTATTTGTATGGACGGAAGTTTACACTGGTTACCGATCATGAACCATTATTAGCCCTGAAGAAATCCAAGGATTACTCAGGAATGATCGGAAGGTGGGCAATGATGCTACAGAGCATGGACTTTGATATCCGTAATCGGAAGCACGAGAAGCACGAAAATGCTGACAGGTTGACACGACTGCACCGACCCGGGAAGGTCCTCAAGAGCAAGGAGGTGATTCCGTGGAACGAGSCGAAGGAGGAGAGCGGACCGCGATATGGACAAGCGGAAATTCTGTCGAAGGAGTTAGTGACACGTAGCCTCGCTCTGCCCTCTCTGAAGCCCTGCTCACTCTCTTTCCTCCTCTYTCATCATGGCTACCCCACCTGCCTCTGCGACCCCTTCTTCCCCTGCTGATTCCGACCGTCTCGCCTCATCGGCCTTCTTCGCCACCCTTCTCGATAAATTCTGATATTTTTGTACGTGTATTACACGAGTATATGGGGTGAATTGTCATCCTTTTGAGACCAGATTCACTGTGCCACGTGTGTCAATTGTGCACATGGTGCATGCGTTCGATACCGAACAAACAGCAGGGAATGGAAATGCCCTCTGTGTAGAACGGACAAACTGCCTACCGAGGTTCGATTCGAGGCTGCCCGTACAAACGACCCTGAATATGACGAGAAATACCGACGAGCAGAGGTCTGGACGGATAAAATCCTATTAGCTAAGCTGGCTGGTTTACCATTGGATCATGTCACTAAGCACGACAGACGCCGGGCTACTGAGAGATCTCGGGATTACCGGTGGATCAACGGTCACCTTGAAAAGCGTAAAAATGACAGATCGGGCTTATGGTTGACGGTTCCCCATCCATTCCAGAGATATGATTGGACCCGACCTGCTCACGAAGAGCAGGCTGCTCACTTCGCGATACGTGTCACGGAGGCAACTATAAATCAGAATCGATGGTTCTGGTCTAATATACGGGACGATGTCAGATACGTAGTCGCCAACTGTCTGGTTTGTGTCGCCGATCATGCCCCAATACGGGGACCAAACACGATAGTACCAACAAAAGTAGAGCACCATTTCCAGCGAGTCAGTATGGACACAACATATATCGACGTGCCACCTGGCCCAAACCGTTGCGAATATTCCATCCTATTAGTTTTAATAGACCATTTTTCCAAATACATCGAGGTATACCCCGGCAAGACCCGTAAGGCCACAGAGATGGCCACGTACATCGATCGGTTTCTCTATACTCACCTAGATACGGAAGAAATTCTAACCGACAATGGGTCCGAATTCAAAGGCGAGGTAGAGGAATTACTGGCCCGACGAGGCATTACGCTTCGACACACGGCACCCCACGTTTCCCAATCGAACGGGTTGGCCGAAAATGCCAATCGCATGATTAAGACTGCCCTTCGTAGGAATTTAGCGGCGAATGACATGCGTCCTTGGCCCGAGATCGTATACCAAATTGTCGGAATTCACTGGGCCACCCCTCATGAATCCACGGGGTTCACCCCCTTTCAGCTTCGCACTAATAGCCTCCCATGCGTCGATTACCAGGGCAACTCGAAAATTACTGGAGCCGGAGGTAGAGACACGCGTGCCGCCCTTAAGGCTAAGGTCGAAAGGTACGCCGATTTTATGGAAAGGGCCGTTCCGAAGCTAGCCCGAAAAAGATAGAAAATGACTAATCTAGCCCACGGAAGGCAAGTCCGTAGCTACGAGGCCCAAAATGGGAACGCCGGTCCCCAGCATCAATATAAATTAGGGGACCTGGTACAGGTACGTAAATGTGCACGCGACCGAAAACTCGCTCCCAAGTTCTCTGGTTATTTCCGCGTTGTCGAGCTCGGACCCAACGGTGCTAACACGGTGCGCATCATGCCCGAGGCAAGCGTCAGCCATAACTCCGTCCCTATCGTCCGCCATATCTCTTACATCCATATCCTCCCTCCTTCTGATCTTCCTCCGTCTTCGTCTTCTGTTGAAGACCAGGACGACGACGATCTAACTCTCGCCTCGTCCTCCCCCTCCCGCTCCCATCTCCCATCTTCTCCCCCGACCTCGCTATGAGTTTCATCACAGAGCAAACCCTTGGCGATCATTTGCTGCATCCACGTGGCTACATCTCTGAGATCCAACAAGTTTGTCATCCGCGTCTCAGTCCTGATCTTCGAAGAGTGGCGCAGTTCTTCTGCACCGAGGGAGTGTGTGTCGCTGCTGCGTTTCGGTTCGCAGGGAGTCAGCAGGCAATAGTATTGGCGGAGGTGGTGGCTCTTCATCGACGAGCGGCTCCAGGGACGAGCCACGTCACCACGGTCGCGGCCTTCAGCGGCGACATCAGCTCGGTCAGCCCACTTCAGCATACCGCGATCTTGACGTCTTTACGAGAGTGGACGCATCAGTTGTCAGCTGAGTGGCAACACGGTCTTGCGCGTCCAGGGAACAATCTGATCCTGACGTCCGGGACTGACTTCGACGGGATTCGCACCTCTCCGTGCCAGCCGGCAGTCGCGCTCCCAACCCTCATCCCCTTCCAACGCCCCCAATGAACCACGCCGCTCCCCTCGCTCCCGTCTCCACCTTCGGTCTCCCCTCTCTCTTCCCCACCTTCTGGCAATCCGATCTCCATCCTCGCCTTTCCTTCTTGCTCGAGCCTCTTGCCGTCCCGCTCCTTGATCCCGGGCATTGGAAGGTGTGGCGCGAGACCTTTGTCGATCTGTCTGTGTGTTTGGTCCGAGTGCAGGTGACGTGGACGCGGACCAGCGAGCATCCTGCGTGCATCGAGTACCTGGAGCTGTTGATCATCCAGGTCTGGAGACCTCACGTGGAAGGCGATCTCCTCGGTTTCCTCTTCGGATCGGTGCGGCCAGGCAATCGCCAGCCAATTACTCAAGAACTCATCATCCTGCTCGCGCAACTGGCTGACGATCTCTCCCTCAACATCGTTTCGCAAAGCGACGAAAGCCCCACTCCGCATGTCATCACGCGGGATCTTCAGTGGACTGCATGCTTGGAAGAACCCGGGAGTGACAGCACTCTGCCATCGCAGCAGGAATACTTGAAGTCGTACGGGATCATCGATCACGCCTTCTATTCGAAGGAAGAACTTGAGGAGGCGCTTGAAGGGGAAGAAGAAGCCACTAAAGAAGAGGGTGACGCCGAAGAAGAAACGTCGGAGGAGGGAAGTTATAACGAGTACAGTGAAGGGGAGCTGAGCGAAGAAGAGGAGGAAGCCGGATCGGAGTGGAAGGACTTGCCGGAAGAAGCGGCGCGCACAGGTACGGAGGCGGAAGATCTCAAGGCGGCACGTAGAAGAGAAGAGATCGCCGCCGGGAAAAGCCAGTTGGAGTTCGCCAGCGGGGCGAGCCTGCGCATCAACGACGACCCAACTAGGGATCCAGAGACCCCCGAGCCCGAAGATGGCGGATCAGCAACCGAGTCTCCAAGCGCATCGCGACGGAGACGGAGCCGATCCCGCTCCCCCTCCGCCCAGCCCGTCCCCCAGTTCCGACAATTTGTCCACGTACCGATGCGGGGAATCGGCATTCGTCCCCGGTCATTATCCCGTCGTCGCCTTGATTACCTCACCCTCTGCCAGATCTCTACCCCTATCACCTTCCCTCGCAACCTCTTTCCTCCCCATACCTTCCATCACTTTTACTCCACCCGTCTCGCCGTCACCGTTCATCCCCACCCTTCCCTTCAATCCGCAAACCCCACGTTTTGTCTACACGTCCTCTTGTTCAATGCCGCGTGGGAACAGAGTAACGCAGTAGAAGTCTACTGCGTAATCACAGGAACCATCCCCGCATATCGCCATCACGAGTTGTTCCGTGCGGCACTCTTCCGCACTTTCTCCACCCTTTACCCTAACTACCTCGCCTCCCTCCCTCACAACGGTGATCGGTTTCCCCGTTTTCACTGGATCATCCGCTACGAAGAGTTCCCGATCACGGAGGAAGAGATGAACCGTTACTTGCCCCCACTTCCCCCCAACCCTCCCCGTCGACATCCCCCCATGTATAATGTCTACTTTCCCGTTTCCACACGACGTTGATACCCGCCACGTGTCCTCCGAGCAATACAAATCAGCAGTTTTGCGAAGATCCCGCCATTGACGATGACGTCAACTTATGCTCTGATTCGATGGACTGCGCTGGACTGGGGGTGCAGAGCACACAGAGATTTGATGGACCATGATGGTGTCACCTGGACGATCTCCGAAGTTCGAAGGACAGGGGGTTGCATATGACAGGACTACAGGGAACGGGATCCGAAACAGCACGAGCCGGCATGCTTCACGGAGATCTTGCCACGGATGTTGTCGCCAGCTCATCATGCTGATCCGATCTCCTACTTCTTCCTGCTTCTTCGTCTCCTCCCACCCCCCCTCGTTCCTTGTACTTCTTCCTGCTTCTTCGTCTCCTCCTATTCCCTTAGTTCGAGCTTTCATGCAATCAGAAGATCGCATAATTTTGGAACCCCCTGCTCGTCACATATGTGACGAACCACTTCCCGACCCCATGCTATCTTTCGTACCCCTTGCCAAATACCCTTGCTTTTGTATCATACCAACCCCACAAAAACCCCGTCGCCTTTCTTGATTTCAGGCGCCTTATTTGGACCCCCATTTTTCTGGAAGATCTATTGATTCCTGGAAATCTTCTTTTTGTAATTTCGGAAATGCGCGGGAAATTATGCGTGCCTTAGCGAGCGCACTGGGAATCAGGCTCGACAGTTAGGAACTACGAAATAAGCGGAGCCCGATGTATCTTTTTCCTTGCATGAATGTTCTCGGTCACGTCGGAGAAAACTTTAGGAATTTTTGGGAGAATACGGATAGGCGTAGGAATTTCTTTTCCCTCGTCGACTTTCGCGCGACGATATGGTGATTTCAATTTTTGAATTGGTTTTGAGCATAGGAAAGTTGTAACTGTTTTGGTGCCTTTTTCTCTTGTGGTCGGCACCGCGCATGCGAGCTTCCTCCTTATTCCCGCGTCATCCTTCCCCCGCACTCTCTCCTCTCTCCCTTCCCCCTGCTCTTATTCTCCTATCGCAATTGTTTTTCTTTCTCTCCCTCTCTGCCCTTCGCACGCCTGTTTCCCCTTCTTGATCATCTGAATCTTGGACCCATCTCGCACTGCTTTTTGCGCCTCGTCTCTTCTTGCTCTTCAACCTTGGCTCGCGAAGCCCGGTTGATCCTCCGATTACCCCGGCTCACCAATCAGACGAGTTGAGTAAGAGGATCTCCCTATTGCGCAACGAATCTGATTGGCCGACTATCGGGCTCTGAAGGATCAACATGGCTTCCCTTGAGCACCTTCCGCTGAACCTTCTCTCCTTACACCTCGATCTCCCCTCTGACTCCTCCCCCATCTATCTCCTTTCCCACAACTATAAATTTTGCAAGCGCGCCCGCAAAACTCTCTTACGTTTTCCACTCGCAAGCCAGCTTTCGGGAAGCAGTGGCTAGGTAATGCGTTTGGTTCGAGTCGAAAAGTCCTGTCGGGCTGACTGTAGTCAAGCCGGCTGCACGCTTGATCGCCACGACGGATTGTGAGATCAAGGTGAGTCGAGTCGAGTTTGCGTCAACGGGGTGACGATCGTAGTGGCGAATGTTAGCACGCGACGGTCGGGATCATCGGTGCGGTTATGAGAATTTGTAATTGGAGTTGAGTGGATGATTGGCCTGGGGCCATGTTGGAATTTCACGGCGAATGCGCCTTCGTGATTGCGGATCATTTTTTCTGGTGTGAGTTCATGGCTGTGAAGCCAAATGCTCTCTTGTTGAATTTTGGTGACGTCAGTCTCGGTTTTTTCTCGTCTACCCCTCCCATCTCTCTCTCTCTCTCTCTCTCTCTCTCTCTCTCTCTCTCTCTCTCTCTCTCT